ATCATAAGAGATTGAATATTATATGTCTCCATATTCGGTTCAAAAATAAAGTGTATTACTATATTACTTTTCCTTTGTATGTACAGGTTGGCACTAATGGGCTTCCGTACATATTATTGTGATAAGCAGCACTGCAAACCTTGGATTCCATAATGTATTATTTAAGCACACTAGCTGCAGTGGTCAGTGTTATGGAGTAATTAGTTTAAAGATTCCCACAGCAAATCTGGGTTCTAAAAATAGATTTTCAAGCACACTATCTGCAATTAATGAGAGCAGCAGGTGTTTGTGTTAGGGGGTATTCTAGGTCAATTATGAATAAACTTAATTCAGATGAGAAGAGTAGATCCGCCTAACATGCTTGAACATATATTCATACGCAGTAATTGTACATCTTACAGATATTTTTAAAAAAATTTCTTTAAAAGCATGAAGACATAAATAATGTAACAGTCCGATATTTTATGCAGTTTTTACCTCCTAAGTTTATACAATCACTCAAACAAGAGCATTTTTTGCTAGAACTATCATATTTGGCATATGGATCACCTTGATGAATGCGTGAAAAATTTTACAGCTCTGAAACGGCTATGTCAACAGGGAGTAGCTCGCTACGCAAGCCAACTAAAAACTAGAAATATGTCCATAGGACATGAATGCCCCGCCGAGGAAATATTACTAAAGCAACATGAAAATTTGTATGTATATAAAATTTGATCAGAATATCTTGAATAGTGATGCAGCTGAATAGCTTGTTTTGAAAATATAGGTCAGATCCAGCATCCGAAGCTGGTCTTGTAGTGTCCATCCCTAGATGCATCATCCATGCAAGTTTGGTTCAGGTAGGACTTATAGTTACTTGGGAATGAAAATGTAGGTCAGGTTCAGCATCCGAAGCAAGTCTGGTAATGTCCATCCCTAGATGCATCAGCCATGCAAGTTTGGTTCAAGCAGGGCTTATAGTTACTTGGGAATGAAAATGTAGGTCAGATCCAGCATCCAAAGCAAGTCTGGTAGTGTCCATCCCTAGATGCATCAGCCATGCAAGTTTGGTTCAGGGAGGACTTATAGTTACTTGGGAATGAAAATATAGGTCAGATCCAGCATCCGAAGCAAGTCTGGTAGTGTCCATCCCTAGATGCATCAGCCATGCAAGTTTGGTTCAGGTAGGTCTTATAGTTACTTGGGAATGAAAATATAGGTCAGATCCAGCATCCGAAGCAAGTCTGGTAGTGTCCATCCCTAGATACATCATTCATGCAAGTTTGGTTCAGGTAGGACTTATAGTTACTTGGGAATGAAAATGTAGGTCAGATCTAGCATCCGAAAGCAAGTCTGGTAGTGTCCATCCCTAGATGCATCATCCATGCAAGTTTTGTTCAAGTAGAACTTACAGTTACTTGGGAATGAAAATATAGGTCAGATTCAGCATCCGAAGCAAGTCTGGTAGTGTCCATCCCTAGATGCATCATCCATGCAAGTTATGTCCAAGTTGGGCTTATACTTCCTTAGGAATGGACCTGCTCCAAAAACTTTTACCTGGTCACTCATCTGGAAAATGTAGGTCAGATCCAGCATCCGAAGCAAGTCTGGTAGTGTTCATCCCGAGATGCATCATCCGTGCAAGTTTGTATCAACATGTGAAGTTTGATAACACCATCTTGAATGGTATGTTTAAAACTGAGCTAAACACTACTTTAAGAAAAGTGAGGTCAAGGTCAAAGGAAAGGTCAAGGTCAAAAAATGTTGATGCAGTTGCATAGCTCTCATCAATATCTATTAGCATGTGAAGTTTGATGAAAATATCTTGGATAGTTTCTTTGAAACTTAGCTTTGAACAGAGCTAAACGCAAAGTGTGACGGAAGGACAGAAGGACGGAAGGACAGAAGGATGGAAGGACGGAAGGACGGAAAGATGGAAGGACGGAAGACGGACATGACAAACACTATATGCCCCGGCCATATTCATGGCGGGGCATAAAACAAGAGGCCCAGGGGCCACAGCGCTCACCTGAGCACATCAGGCTTGAATTTACTCCACCCCCCCCCCCCCCTCCAGGCGTTCATCATTTGAACAAACTTGAATCTACACTACCTGAGGATGATTCCATATAAATATCACAAATCATAGCTTTGAAGTACTTGAAAAGAAGATTTTAAAAGGTTTCCCTATATATCCCTATGTAAAACTTGGGTCTGCCATTTTGGCCCCACCCTTGCCCCGGGGGTCAGGATTTGAACAAACTTGAGTCTACACTACCTGAGGATATTCCACATGAGTTTCATCTTTCCTGGTCCAGTGGTTCTGGAGAAGAAGATTTTTAAAGATTTTCCCTATATATTCCTATGTAAAACTTGGGTCGGCCATTTTGGCCCCACCCTAGCCCCGGGGATCATGATTTGAACAAACTTGAATCTACACTACCTGAGGATGATGCCACATAAGTTTCATCTCTCCTGGCCCAGTGGTTCTTGAGAAGATATAAAGATTTTTCCTTTGTAAAACTTGGGTCGGCCATTTTGGCCCCACCCTTGCCCCAGGGGTCATGATTTGAACAAACTTGAATCTACACTACCTGAGGATGATTCCACATTAGTTTCATCTTTCCTGTCCTAGTGGTTCTTGAGAAGAAGATTTTTAAAGATTTTTCTTATATATTCCTATGTAAAACGGGTCGGCCATTTTGGCCCCACCCTTGCCCCGGAGGTCATGATTTGAACAAACTTGAATCTACACATCCTGAGGATGATTCCACATGAGTTTCATCTTTCCTGGTCCAGTGGTTCTGGAGAAGAAGATTTTTAAAGATTTTCCCTATATATTCCTATGTAAAACTTGGGTCGGCCATTTTGGCCCCACCTTTGCCCCGGGGGGTCATGATTTGAACAAACTTAAATCTGCTTTACCTGAGGATGATTCCACATGAGTTTCATCTTTCCTGGCCAAGTGGTACTGGAGAAGAAGATTTTTAAAGATTTTTTCCTATATATTCCTATGTAAAACTAGGGTCTGCCATTTTGGCCCCACCCTTGCCCCGGGGGTCATGATTTGAACAAACTTGAATCTACACTACCTGAGGATGCATCCACATGAGTTTCATCTTTCCTGGTCCAGCAGTTCTGGAGAAGAAGATTTTTTAAAAATGCCATAAATTTTTCACAAATTCATAATTATCTCCCCTTGGAATGGGGCGTGGCCCTTCATTTGAACAAACTTGATTTCCCTTCACCCAAGGATACTTTGTGCCAAGTTTGGTTGAAATTGGCCCAGTGGTTCTTGAGAAGAAGATGAAAATGTGAAAAGTTTACGCCGACGCCGACAGACAACGGACAAATTTTGATCAGAAAAGCTCACTTGAGCCTTCGGCTCAGGTGAGCTAAAAACAGGTCAAAAAAGTGCTGACCTGTCTGTCAGTCAGTCAGTCCTGTTTTTTTTTTTGTCAGCGCAGCTCCTCACAAACCGCTGCAACTTGTTGCGTGGGATATAAATATTCACAAGATACATCTGTATCATCAATTCTTTGTTTCTCATGGTCAGAATATGGTCCTGGAGACAGCATATGGATCTTTGATACTAAAACTTATTTACAAATATACCACTAGACAATAACATTAACTTGGAGAACCAAGCAAGTTAACCAATGGCAAGAAAATCCCCATTCTGATGAGTCTCTCCAATATCTTTGTTCATGAAAAAAGACTATAATTGGTACTTAGTACTAATTTTAATGTTACAAACAGGAAATACAGAAAAAGTTCTGCCAAAATACTTCAATGCGAAAAATTTTACATACTGACAAATCTTCTGAACAAACCATTCACAAAAGTCAACAGATACATGTACTACAATTGATTCCATTGAGGGTGGAAATAATTTCTGTCAGATTGACAAACATAACTCCATTGAAGGTGGAAATAATTTCTGTCATATTGACAAGAAAAACTCATTATTTACTACTAAGTTACCAAATCCATCAAAAGCAAATTAAAGTTAAATCATGGCAAGATAAGATTATACATGTTAATTAATAAAGCATATACCATACATAATAAAGGTTTCAAAGTTCTATCAGAAAAATCAGCACTGGTAAACACAATATTGTGTCTGGAGTCTGAATGTTAAATACATTGAAAGTGGATGTGTGAAAGACAAGGAAGGAACAAACTAAAACATGTCATGTAACAAAACAAAACAAAACACTACCCACAATTCCCTGTTAAAGCTGACTAAAAGCTTGTGTCTCGCATGGCACTGGTGAACATTTCTACATACAAAACCAAATTCCTTTGTAAGTTGTAAACATTATAATTCCATTGTTTCTGCCACCACATATAGACACAGCTTTGTTGGAATATGAACACAATTGATCGTTGAACGAGTTAGTAGAGACAAAACATTTAACAAGATAATATTCAACTTTTCAGCACAAACATGCGTAGAATAATGACGGATCATGGAAGTTCCAAATTAGTCAGAAATGAATTTTTTTATGTCATGTAAAGCAAAATGAGTAAATATGCATAATTCCAATCTTGAAAACTATCATAAGATAATACTTTTCTTTTAGATAAAGCAAATTTAAAAATCAAAAGAATTCTTGAGACTTTTTTAAAGCAGGAGACACGATGAATAAGGTGGGACTGCTATTTAATGCTAAATGAGCCAATAATGGAACTATATAATATATAAACAAGTAGTAACATATATAAAAAATAATAAAACTTTATAATAAAAAAAAACTACCTACACTAAGCACTAGAAGACTACTTTTCTTTTTCCAACACTGACAAGAGATTCTGTAATTTTATACTTTGGAAAATCAGGACACATACAGTAAATTGAGCATCAGTGACATAATATTCTAAAAAAAAAAAATTAAGTACAATTCCTATATTTACTTCACTCCTCTTTCATGATAAAATGTACACAAACCAAAAATTTGATGTTTTTTCAAATATGAAAAATGCAATTTTTTTTTCAGATGGATGTGGGGTCGAAGCTGGGGGTCACACAAATGTTGTACAAAAGCCAAATACGAAAATGCTAAAAGGACAATGATTCACAAACCTTAACCAAAGATTCTAGCATTACACAATAATAGCATCACAATGCTTAAATACCTTAAACTAAAAGCATACTTGTTCATTGTATCTCTGAATAATAGGGTTCCCTCTCGAAAAGTCACATTGCAACATTGCACATCGAAAACTGAGGGAAATAAGAAAGAAGCTATTAATAAACTTTAATATGTTATAAATAATAAAAAATCTCTGTGGTCGTCCCAGTCTTGAAGAAATAATCTCACAGAAAATTGCCACTAGTAGATCATTGCAATTAGAGGTGTGTGGAAATCATGAAGAAAAAGATAGGCAGCATTCCTATTGTTAAATAGCACCTATAAAACAAAAAAAATCAAGATTTCTTTTCTAAAATCAGTCTGACATAAGCCAGTCCCTTCTATTTCACTTTGTCCCACCCCTACTATTTCATTTTGTAAAACGAAGTGAAATAGTAGCTAGGGGCTGGATTTAGTCAGACTGTTCTAAAATATGATTATTCATCTTATCCTCAGTTTTCCATCAAAGAGATTTAATTAAGCAAGTTAATTTCCCCATGGACACAGACTGTAGAACACCATGTCAAGATTCCTTTATCCTTTACCAAACCAAAATACTGGGCACACGAGAGATGAAGATACATGTAAAAGTAATCTTTTTTTTGAATACATGTGCATTAATTTTTTTTTTTAATTTTTAAAATAAATTAATATTCCATATATTTCTGGCCTATGTTTAAAATTGGTTGCTCAAAGAGAAAAATCCACTCTTTTGACCTACAGGGTAGTTGCCAAGGGGAATAACTCAAAGGCAACACCAGCACTTATTATTGGACAATGTCATGTAATGTTGAGAAGATGTTCAGTAATTATATTCTTTCTGGAATTATGTCTTTATTTTCAATTTGCACAAACTAGACTTTTTGGTCACTTTTTCCCCCCTTCATTTATTACCTGGGAAAGACTAAGGTTTCTTTATTCATCTTCGGATTTGCCCTGAAAAAATAATAAAGTAATTAGAAAAAATGTTATTTACCGGTATGTCAACAATATAATGTACGGACATTTGCAACCAATGGTACTTAATTTAAAACTGTTTATGTCTTAATTAAAATATTTTTTAAATTATTATAACATCATCATTTGTAAGAGGACTGCAAGTCATAAAATAAGATTAAAGAAACATAATAACACACTAAAATCTAAAGGATAAACCTGAAAAAAAAAATGTTTTATTAGTAACAGTCGCATCCATAGTAGTAAAATAAAACTTGATGTGTAACAATTCAAACAATAACAAAACTAACAATATTAACTATCTATCATTCATACATCAGCATTCTTAACAATTATAATGAAATACAACAAAAACACAATATCTGGCATGTAACTTTATTGAAACCAAAAACAAAACTTTTTATCAACAAGTATATACAAGCTTACAACAACAGAAGTTCAAGCAATTGAAACAGGGGGTGTCTGGAATCTGAAAATTCACACACAGCTGTTGTCAGTAAGGTAAAGGCTTTTAATACAAAGCAAATATGGCAATTAATACAAACAGTATTAGTCAAATTGGTTATGATATTTTATTCACAGTAGATATTGCTTAAAAGAAGATTTGACTTAAGAAACAAAAAGAATATTATCAGTGTTAGAAAATAAAATATTACAATTTTTAGTGTTAAACAATGAAAATAAACAAAATACAAATGTGTGTACAACTGCTCATCTATGACATGCTCCTGAATTTCAAATAAGATTCAACGCCATGATTAACTGAATATACTGTCTCGAGTGATGTCAGTAAGATTCATTTAATTAATTAGGACCAATAACTTTGCTCCTCAGAATACTAAATGTACTGTAAGCATTACTGAAGCATATTGTCACTGACTTAAATTAGGAAATGGCAATATACATGTAGTTTAATCAAAGCAAGCATTATTAGTTCAACTTCACAATGCAATACTACCTTCCATCTTACGTTGGGTCATTCTCAGAATCCAATATTCAAAATTTAATTATACATCAGTTTTTCATTCTTCTTGCCAATATACCGGGGATTCATTACACATTACTTCAATGCATGCTCTATAGAGTTGACAGCAAGTCAAAAAGGGTTTCAAAACTTTTGTATATGTAGATTTTGCACACCATCATCCATCACAATGTCTGTCTATGCTCATTTCATTGTATATTCATCATCTTTGCAGTCAGTAGTTCAGCATGCTTATGATTTTTTAGTTCCGTTTAACATCTACATGTATGTAGAAGTTAGAAATTCTTGCCTTTTCATTCATTTGGATATATCACTTATTGTACTTCAGTTTGCACATACTGTCATTTTTCTTGCTTGATACTACTTTAACGTATCTGAATAATAACTATTACTTCTGCATTACACATGAAGAATTTCAAGAATTCATGCCTTTGCATCACATGTTAATATAATCTTCTATTCATACATTTCCCTGGTCACTTGATGCTACTCGAAGTATCTTGGTTACACATGCTTGTTTTTAACCTCTGGTTAGACTACACACTGGGGAACACAACCTCATGCAGTTGTTACCTAATCATCGGCCATCTCACGCCTACGTCTTCTCCTCCTCTCGGCGGCACTCTCTACCTCCATGGAATCTGCGTCTTCCTTGGCCTTCCTCTCCTCGCGGCGTCTGCGGCGACGTTCCTCTAGACTGTCATCGGCCTGTTCTGAGGCTGCCTCGGCAGCTTCCTTTGCCTCTCTCTCTTTCCTCCTCCTCCTTCTTCTGGCCTCCATTGAGTCATCATCTTCATCTTCCTCCTGAGCTGCCTTTGTTTCTGGCACCGGGCTTGGTTCCTTTGGCTCCTCCACAACTGCTGGTTTCTTCTTCTTACCAATATCATCATCATCTTTACCAAT